ATATATTTTTTGTAGAAATGCAGAATTCAGTGACAAGAAACTGGACAGGGAAACAAGCAATATTGTTTTAACTGTCCATCCATCTTTTTCCACCAATTTTCTTACTTCTTTGACATTACACATGATCGTTGTGATGCATGGTATCACACATCACATTTGGAGTGACAGGATATTGTGCTATAGTTTGACTCACTTATTAACACCCAGGCATTTTAAGACAGTTATAGTTGGGAGGAGCTGCTCACTGACCCACTGGTACATTAATGATTATTTTCGTTGCTGGGTTTCTTAAGATCTCAGCAGTTGGAAGTGGGTTTGATGTACACAAGGATTGATTGAGTCAGGGGAGAAGAGCTACATGGATATGTTCATGTACCCAGGTTTGGCTAATCAGGGTGCAAACAAGCAGTACTCAAAATGCCAGCTGTTGCTGTACACATGTTACTGAGGCTACGTCCACACGTACCCGGGTATTTTTGAAAACGTAGATTTTTCTATGCGTTTGCACCTTTTGTCCACACGTAAACAGCATTTTCGGTCACTGAAAACTGAGATTTTTAAAACCTCCGGCCAGGGTGGATATTTTTGAAAACTCAGTTTTTGCATTTCCGTGTGGACAAGAAAAACGGAGAAAACGCAGAAAATGCAGCGTCAAGGGTGTGCGCCTTTTTTGACGTAATACTGTGCGCCGCGTTATTGTTTCAGTGAAATGAATTTCTACAATACTGTTACTGTTAATTGTACTCTCTGCAGTGTTTAAATGCTTACATATACACACACAGTTACTGTCCCTCCACACATACGACTCGGTTCTGCTTCTATGCCCCATCCTTGTTTACTATTTCCCACTGAGGCTTCTAGACTTCTGATTGGCCAACATTTCTACATGATTAGAAATATATTGCCACCATTTCTGCGTTTACGTGTGGACGGGATTATTTTTTAAAACGAAAACGGAAAATCTCCGTTTTCAAAAATACCCGTGTACGGTTTTTTTCCAGTTAAATGATAGATGGTAGCACTTTATATGTTTATTTATTCTAACAATTTGTGGTCTTTTGTTATGCAGTAAAGGGAACAGCAAACTTGACTACTTTGTATGGAGAAACCATTGTTATGCCATGCAATGGTGGAGCTCCACCACCGAAAGATCTGATGTTCATCAAGTGGAAATATGTAAGTACACACTGACATTGAGTTACTTGTGAAGTAAGCAACCAGCTGTGTGAATATCACCATCCAGTCTAAAGCTGGGCATACACTGTGCAATTTTTTTT